AGACACTGCAGTTTCAAGTTTGCCTTTCCTCTCTCTGTCCATCTCTTTCTCTAAGGTGACAGGAGCATGCTTTCAACACATGGAGCAAGCAGAGAGCCTGCAGGTATAAATGGACCAGCGTTTGGAGTCTGAAATACACTGCATTACACAGGTGGCTGTTCTTGGAAGTCAACCATTTCTGAAAGTTATTCTCAAGAGGTATGATGTACTATAAGCACTTAAGAAATGTGTTACACTGTGACTGGAACCAAGATGAAATAGCAATATTAAAAGAGATGGTTTAGTTTATGTAGTGGCCAACTATGCCATTAAACTAGAACAATGGAGACGATGTGGAGGCAGGAATGTTTTCCAGTGTGATTTATTCCTTTCCAGTAGGAGCGGAAATTTTTGCTATAGGCCTGAAAATGACCCTGTCCACCAAGCAAAAGTCAGCATTAAGATGTAAGAGTTCTGCTAGATTAGTCACCTCAAGATACTCTGCTCTCACACAGCACAGGAATCTCAAAGCCCTTTGCCAGAATGGGTCAAAACTCAGCCTCGTAAGCTCCACAAAGACCATTAGACCTTAGCATTGCTGTTGTCAGTCACTTCAGAGAGAAACTGAGGCTTGAAGAATCGATTAAAAATAGGTAAAGACGACTCTATGAGAGGGTCAAAAGCAAAACAAAGGCTTACTCGATCCTATGCTTTACAGGAAATGTGCATCTTTCTTGAAAGGATCATTGTTTGCTGCAGCTGAGAGCAGCTGGGTCAGCCAAGGCGAGAGGAAATGTTATCGGGCAATGGTTATCAGGCAAACAATATAATGCCATTTCCACCTCTGCCAGCCAATTAGTCCCGTGCTGCCTGCTGACCCATATGGGAAGGGCTGCCTCCTTTAGAATAAGGATTTGGCACCTAAGCCCTGCCAGTTTTTTACAGCTGCATCAGCTACACACACAGTGACTCTGTGCATCTACCTGCTCTTTGTGCTCCTGTATTCTGACATTATGGTAACTGCCATGCTAGAGGCCCTGCTATGGCCCCCACAGAATATGAAGAGAGCCCCAGAATGTCTCCTGATCAGAACCCTTCTCCACAGTAGGTTGGTGGGTCCAGAGAAGGATAATAGGAATTCTCTTCTCTAGGAAGAGGCATATCTGATTAAAAAAAGATGCTTTCTGCACCCTGATCTTTCAATGACCCCCCAAATGACATTGTGAAGGCCCAGCAGGAAGAACAGACTGAAGCCCCATGTCCACCCTTTCTGAATTCTCAGCCCTGCTCTCCCTCTCTTTGAAGCCTGGCACACAGTGGGACCACGTGCAGCTGCACAGGCTACGCTCCTCAGAGTCGTCTCTCTCAAAAACAGCCTCCTACCCACTTCCTTCCTCTGCAGAGTAACGAGGCGCTCTTCGGCCTCATGCTGTCTCTCCCAGCAGTCTGGTTCCAATCTCGGGGATGCCACATCAGACAGCTACCCCTAAAAAACAGCCAGAGGCCCTCCCGCTGCACCACAGCAGCCATACAGGTGCTGAAATCTCCCCCCGCCCTGGTCCTGAACTGCAGAGTCAGCTCACAGGGACAGGGAGCAACTAGGACAGTTCAATTAGAGCCAGGATGAAGCACCAGGTAGAAGCACACAGATGCTGAGATATCAGCCAGCTGACATACAGCGAATGCCTGATTTTCCAATGCACAGAGGCCACCTCTTCCTTTAATCCCTCCTCAGTGCCAGAGAGGCTCAACACCTCTGGAAAAGCTAAACTTATTTCTCCTGACAAAGTTGTGCTATGAATTACTCGTTAGATCCTGACCTCCCCACTACAAGAAAAAATCCTCCTACCTCAAGAGTGTTTTGCCTGAAGGAGTATACTCAAAGCCAGTATAGCAAAGCTAAGCTTTTGCTGCCTAAAAACCAAGCCCTCCTTTCCCAATACGTGTCTTAAAATAACGTCAAAGGCATCATGGTGTCAGTTCCAGCTTCCACTTCAGGTATTTCCACTTGCACAATCCAGGGTGGATTATGGGGTTTTTGATTTGTATTTTTTCCTTCCAAAAAAGAAACCTACACAAAAGGGAACAATCTTTCCATACACAAAATCTTTTTTGTTTTGTACATATTGCTGAATTGCTTTCATTCAACTCCAACGCTAATTGTAAAAAGCACAGATACCAAACTTGCTCACATTCCTCTTGCAGTGGGAAGGAAAAATGGGAGAGATCAGCTGACTTTGTGCATTTAGCAACCTGCCTGTGCTGTCAGTGCCCAGTGAGTGATGGGTGTTTCACAATCGGAAATATGAGCAACTGGCCCAGCTGTATAGTCCTCAGCCAGCAGCTACAAGACTGTGGTCCAGGGTCAGGAAAAAAGGAAGACAAGACTGTGTCAACACTTTCACCCTAAGGCATGCTCTGATTTTCATTGGGGCAAGTGCATCTTTTATAGTATCACAGTAAGCATCATTTCTCAAAGCAGGACCTGGCACAGAGTAACCTCTGCACATCAAGCACTAGTAGCTGCTAATCACAAAACTGGAGCTCACGACGACGGCTGATAAGGAAGCTTCCTCTTAACCCACACAACTACTTCCTCCTCCCTTTTACCCCCTCACCTTTCTAAGACACTGAAGTAATCTCCTGGGGCACTTCTTTGCTGCTGGGAGAAGCTCTGCTCTGGAGCCTCTGTGAAGCTCAGGTATGGCTCCAGAGCACTTCATAGGGGCAGAGGCAGGACCTGTTCGAGTGTCTTCTCTCAAAATTAAAGCTGCTGTTTCGCAATTCTGACACTTCCCACATGGATCAGTCACTGCCCTGTCAGCTCTCTTCCCTAAGGTCTCAATGGTAGCCTGACAGGATACCTTTAATAAAACACACATGCCTTGTCCCAAAGTTTATGGTTTGCCTTAAATAAATAAATCCCCAAGACCTGATTACATTTGTAAGTGATTCAGAAGAATTAAATTGGGGTCTCTGTGTCAGTGGGTCTGCCAAGCTTGCATGCCAGCATGGTCTCTGCACAGCCAGCTTCAGCTGCTCCCACCACTGACACATCAGTTTTGCTGCCCGTTGTTTGCAAGGAGAGTACACGCAGCAACAGGGGAACAAACCATAAATACAGGATACATTATGAAACATCGGGCGCTGGTTGCAGGATTTGAGAGGAAAGAAGGGAAAATGTAGCAAATTATTTTCAGCTTGTCTTTTTAAGCATACATGGAGAATCAGTGGGGTTTAACCAGGAGTGTAACTTTAAATTCTGCAATAGTAACAGAGGGATTGGTATATTGTACTATATAAAACAAACTGCTGCTCTTCCACGCATAAAAGAAGGCAGAAGGAGACAGAGTATCACTCACAGTACTGCCTAAAGCATGCTGGCTATGTCAACAGACTGTCTTGCTTTGGACTGTTTGGACTGTTATTAATATGCAACTGAATATGCAACCGATCCAACACCAACAATGACATTAATTTTTTTTTAAATTAAATTATATTAACCTCTTCAGTTTAACTAGCATGTTAAAAATATAAAAGGAAAGCAGATGTGACCGTCATGGATGTGCACGCTGAATATTAATAACAGAAAGCATCCCCTCCCCCTTGGAGGATAAGGCGAAGTTGGATCGGTCATTTTGCAAATTAAATCCTGAATGTGTTCACGCTGTAGCTGTCAATAAACCTCTGGTTTGTGTGCATATACCCACAAAGATGAAGCCAAAACAATTTTACTAGGGTAAACCTTTAAAGATCCAGCCACGATCCAGCTGGATGACAATGCTACAGCCCGAGTACTCCCCTGAAGCTCTGCCGTCCACATTTTTCCCCACACACATTTCTAAGGAAAAATTAAGTGAATATCCCACACTGTCAGTTACTGGACCCCTAACACAGGCTACCCTTATGCTAGCCAGATGAATGCTGGCAAGATGAAATCCAGTAGCTTGTTGTTCTCACACTGACAGTGCCACTGGTCCGTGCGCTGCAATCGCACCACATGTCATCCCAACCACACTCCACTATTTCTACCCACCAGCAGATGTGGGTTTTTTTCTTTTAAAGAGACACTAGTTTCCAGAATTTCACCTGGCATATTACCTCTGCCAGAAAATCGCATCAAGAAGCAGGACTATCTTACAATGTTCTGACATAAATAAGAATCCTGTCTTTCCTTTTCCCTCAATATCCCAGCTGATAACTATATTTATCAAGTGGGCTCATAGAGCATTTTACACAGTTCTTCTCTATAACCTACTCTTCTCCTTGGTCTTACTTATTCACGCTACCAGTCATCATTTTAATGCATTTGTAATACTTGATTTCAATTTTTATCCTAATTCTGCCTGCACATTAACCCTACAGTGCCTCAGAACACATTGGTTTACTGGAACCAGCCTAAGGCATCATTGTTCTAAGATAGCAAGAAGTGTGTATTTCTCCCTGTCTTCTAAGGAAAAAACAAAAGAACAAAAAATAAGTCGCATTCCTAGTTACAGAATTCAGCCTAAAAGCTTTTGCTAGTGCTTCCACACACCTGCCCACTCCCACCTCTGACTCAAGCTACAATTTTTATTGACATATACTAATTACCTGAAAATAAGAATGATCTATTCCATTGCCACCAGCTGCCAGTTGCCAGCACTGGCTGGAAGTGATCAGGCTTGTTTAAGAGAATAGAACAAAAAATCTAAGCTCAAAAATAAAATTAAAAAATAATAGTCATGATAAAAAGAAAACCCTAAAGAATGCCACCGGTTCTCAGGTACTGCCGGGTGTGCTCGGAAAGGGCTGAAGGCAGACAGATTTGAATGGATGCTCAGTTTGTCACGGTAAAAAATACAGAGATTTAAAGGTCTACCCACGCAGAAAAAAAAAGACAAAAAAAACCAATAAAAAGAACCACCAAAAAAACCCAACCCTGAATTAAAGAACAAAAATAAAATAAAGTCAGAAAAGCAGCCTCAGTGCATCGACTGTCTGCGCTTAAGAGATTTACAGGAGTAATTTAAATGATTCACCTGCTGCCAGTTTTCCTCCAAGGATGGCAAAGCTGAGAAGTAGCCGGTGTCGTGGACAAGCTGGAGTTCCTGGAATATACTATAACTAGCCAAGACATCCATGCTGCTGCTGAGCAAGACCCTTTCTTTCTGCTTTTGTGTATGTTTGTTTGCTCGGGTGGGGGGTTGTTTTTTGATCATAAAAAAAAAAGGAGGAGGAAAATCAACCAATGATAAATCCAGCGTCCCTTTGGCTTTGTTTTGTTTCAGTCACACTTTAAAAAAAAGAGAGAGAGAGAGAGAGAGAAAGCGGATGAGCGTGGACGGACGGCACGGTCCGGGGGCCGGGCCGAGCAGGACGAGCGGCGCCGGCGCGCACCGAGCACCCCGCGGCCGCCGCACCGGGGCACGTCCCCGCCGCGCTCCGCGCAGCCCCGCGCCGCGGCCATGCGCGCTCGCGACCGCCCTCCCTCTTCGCCGCCCCCTCCCCTCTTTATTTTCGGGACACCACATCCCACATCCCTCCCTCCCCCCCCCCCCCCCAGTCCCGCTTCCCTCTCACCCTCCCCCGGCAAGCCCGGCGCGGCCCCCCCTCGCGCGCAGCCGCGCGGCCCCGCTCCGGCAGCGCGTGGCCATGTAGGGTAAACGGCGGGGCGGGAGGGGCGGGCCCGCCGCGTGCCCGGAGCCACCGCCGCCCAATGGTGGCGCCGCTCGGGGCGCGGGGGGCGGGGTCCGGACGCCGGCGCTGGCGGCGATTGGCCGGCAGGGCGGTGCCCGCCCCCTCCCCGCGTCCCGCGAGGCGGCGCGCGGCGAGCTATTTTTAGGGCGCTATATAACGGGGCGGCGGCGCGCGCGGCGGTGGCAGAGCGCGGAGCGGTGAGGGGCGGGTGGGGGCTGTGCGCGCCGGCCGCGGCACCCGGGGCGGCAGCGGGAGAACCGCGGCCCTGAGGGAAGCGGGGAACAGGCCGCGGCCGCGCAGGGGACGCCTGCGAAGCCGGCTGCCCTGCCCGCACTGTGTGTGCAGCCTCTCCCCACCTCTAGTTCCCAGGGCTAAGGGTGGCCAGACCGAGAAAAGCACTTTTCGTCCCTTAGTCGCAGATGTCCGGGGAAAGATGCACAGCTGATTGGGGTGTTGGAAGGATTAAGCGTGGGAATACACCCCGAGCAGGAGCCGCCGGCGTGAGGAGCACGTGCTCTGTGCCCGTGTGGGGAGACCCACAGCAGCACAGCTTCCGAGCGCTGTTCAGGCTATCCCCAGAAATGCTCCTGCGCTTATTAAGGCATCTATCATGACATTTAATCAGGCTTAGCTGTGAGCCGAGCCCTCTCCGAATGCTAGTTTGGGTTGGCTAATGAGCTGTTTGACCTTAAATGGTTAGTGTGGTGCAGAGCTTCCCCAAAATCGCTCTGGCGCTGAGCACGGTTGCATTTCTGCTTTTGAAAGGATTGCAGAACTGCTCTTTTGAAGATGGTGGGGGTGGGGAGGGGTTTCCAGTAATAGAAGAAACATGTTCTCTTTGTTGCTCTCAAATGCAGAGGGCCGTGTGGTCCCATGGGTTGTATTGCCAGGGCTGTATCCAGCCACCAGACTGCTGGACGAACGTCCCCCTGGTGCCCTTTAGTGGTGGGTTGTCGGCAGTGTAGGTTGGACTGGGTATCAGGGCAAGCAGACGCTGCCAGGGGTTGCTAAAGTATCTACTTGTAGAGCAGTTGCATCATACTTTTCCTTGCTGTAAGTGACTAAGATGTCTCTGTTCGCTGTTGTCTTCCTTCTGCACCCAGGTGAGCATACCTGGGCCAGGCCTCGGCTGGTGTAAATCGGTGCAATGCCACTTGTACACACACACACGTCTTCCCAGGTGTCCCTCTCAGAATGCCATGGAGGTATGAGGCAGCAGAACTCCTCAGTGCTGATTAGTTCGTGGTATGTTTTCTTTCTTGGCAATGAAGACAGATTTACCTTTTCCAAGACTGGGTCCATGTTAACAACTTTGAAAGCCGTGTTTGAAGAAGGCTTGGATAATGGCTGCGTTCAATCCCAAATTCTCGTAGGTGCTGTCAAGAAGAATAAAGCAGAGTAGGCACCCCACTTTAGTTTAAGGAGTCAAAATATAGAGGAAAAGGGGGAAATGAAGATGTTGCTGAAGAACTGCAGTAACAGGGAGAGAGCTGGACATAGGCAGTTTTCTCAAATAAACAGTCTTAGCACTACAAAAACATTCTCTGCGTGATTGCACTGCAGAAGCAGCGGGATGGCTCGTGGGAGCTCTTGCTCAGGCATTGACCCTGAGGCTGCAGGTCTGCACAGTCCGGGGGCATCTCCCTTGAAGATGGCTGTCTCCTGGGAACTGCTTATGAAAACGATGCCATTCCCAGCCTTCATCTGGGGAGCCATAGATTGCCTCAAACAGGACTATCCTCAGGACCTTTAGCTTAGCAGAGAAGCTGCGAGGTTGGATGTGAATAATAAACTACTCTTTCTCATAAATATACCCATAAATGTGTAAATGTATGTGTTAGCGGGAAGATGAGAGGGAAGGTTAGTGCAGCAAGCACTGCTGAAGAGGTCTTGCAGACTGTCGTTACCAATTCCAAGCATGCCTCAATCTGGCAAAGCGACACCTTTCCTGGGCACCTTGGGAAGGGAAAACTTTTAAAGACAGGAAAGGAGAGAGCTTGATAAAGGTGGTCAGATGTGGAAAGAAGCAGCACTTGAGTATCATAACACAGCTCCCGTACCGAGAGGGTTACACAAGAAATACCTGTTTCAGAAAAAGCCTTTGATAAGCATTTATCCTTAACAGCTTGTCAGAACAAGGCCAAATGCATATGCAGAGACTTTTCTGACCTAGGCAAGGAAATAGAGGACAAAAGCAATGAAGGTTTCTGCTGCGAGCTACTTAAACATCCATTTTTGTCTTCAAAGGCTATAATTCCTGTGGCTGAAAAATATTTTGGTGCTTTACTTCTGGCCTTGTTCAGCATAACTACCATTTTAATATGTAGAAAGTTTAGTGGTGTGATGTCCAAGCTCTCCTCTAATAGTGGCATGAGAGGAGGCCTGGCCTGTGCTAGCAATGGGTTGCTCATGCTTTGGTATATTGTAAAGCATATTTGCTTTACATATTTGGTATATTGACATAAACAGGCAGCCCAGGATTCCCTCTGCTGTGATAGTCACCTCTTTGCTACTGAGTAGTTCTCCTTTGAAACAATTAAAATCTTTCTTTCTACTTGTCCATCTTATCCTGAACTTTCTGCTGAAGGCATGTCCTGTAGGAACTGCCAGTTTTCCACCCTCGGGGTGAAGGTTGTCCTCAGTTTTGGATCTCAGCTGCGTTACACCAGTAAAGAGCCCAGACTGTGCCCAGGTTGCACTGTAACTGGTGGCCACATCTGATGAGCAGATGCTGGTCTGCTTCCCTGGTTGGCTTCAGGAGGAATTGTGTCTGAGGACAGGATTTTGGCTGCAAGCCTTGAGGTGAAGAGCTGGGCTCCAGATTTGGCTGCTTGCCTGGGTGGTTTCCAGGCAGACATTGCATTTTTATTGTCTTGGATATTCTTCTCTGGAGGTCAGTCGAGAAAGCAGAATGGGATTGTCACTTGGCAGAAGTAGAAAAGCCTAGACAAAAACTGAATGTAGTGGTACGCTGGGTATAATGCTGTTAGTCCAGCACCTGAGGCAGCATCTATCTGTACTACCCCAAAGGTAGTGAAAGGCGATTTCTGCCAAGCTCCCTTGTTTCCCAGGCTGTACTGACCTTACTCTTGGCAAATAGCCACATTCCCTGCTCCAGCCCGACCACACCACCCATCACGGAGAGCAATGCAATCAGATGTGGAGGAGGAGCAATACCTCCCTACTGCTACACAGCTGGGCTCAAGGGCACAGAGGACTACACAAAAATTCAGGCAAAGAGTGCAGGCTGGACCTGCAGGGAGTAAGGAGGGGCATTTCAGACATAGCTGATTTGTCCCATAATGGGTAAACTGAATGGCCTGGATGGGGAGAAGACTTTTAGGCCAGCCCCAAACTTCACCATTTCTATAACTTGCTGAAATGTCCGGAAGATGCAAGGAAGCGGTATGGCTGGTTGTGCAATAATGCCGATGGGCTTTGGCACATGGGAAAAGGCAAGTGGTTATATTTTTGGTGTTAAGGAGTAATGAGAGTGGTTAGTTCTAGTGAGAGGAAAGAAAGAAAATATTTCCTTGCTCATTCTGCTCTTCAAGAGAAAGAGGAAAGATGACTTCACTGTTTTCTGAGAGAAGCTTGAATTTAAAGCCTTCCACGGGGCCTCTGGCAACAACTTCTTCTACCTTCTTCAAGTCAGGAGCTCAGAATCACCCCCTGCCCTTGACTGGGTCCCTACAAGCCACTGGTGTGCATAGAATCACAATTTTGGTTGCTCTGATTGCTTTTTCTTGTGATATTTGCATCCCCACTGCCCTCAGAAGTAATTAGTGAGGACCCAACAGGGAAGGCTGATTTGTGGGGGACTTTGAGATGTTTGTTTTGTTTGGTTTGGCCAGTGACAAGATGCCATAAAGCCATTGGAGAGTATATCAATTCACAATTTAAACACTTCACTGAATACACCTGCTTTGGTACCAATGATGTTTCAACAGATACACTGAGGTCCCTCGTTCGTGATGCAGTTTTAAACCCCATGGTCTTCTGCATAGTCAACAAAAGTGCTAAAGCACCTTCTCCCTCAGGGACACATTGGTCCAGGTGTCCAGGCTACCAGTTTCTTCTATCATCACATTTGCATGTTAGGCTGCCAGCTGCATCTCTTCCTCTCCTCCAGCTCCGGATTGAGAGCTAATGTAGCTTTTCTGTGCTTAGAGCCTGTGACAGTGTTGTTTACAGATGCTGGGTTTTCAGTCTTGTAGTGGGTTGACTCTGGCTGGGTACCGGGTACCCACTAAAGCCTCTCTCTCACTCCCCTCTGCAACAGGACAGAGGAGAGAAAATATAACAAGGGGTTCATGAGTTGAGACAAGGACTGGAAGAGATCACTTACCGATCACCATCATGGGGAAAACAGACTCAAAGTGGGGATATTAATTAAATTTATTACTAACAGAATCAGAGCAGGAGAATGAGAAATAAAATAAATCTTAAAAATACCTTCCCCCACCCTTCCTTCCTTCCCAAGTTCTACCTCTTCTCCCTCAGTGGTGCAAGGAAACTCACAGAAGCCACCCCTTTAGCCCCCCAACTATGAAAACCTGGCCACAGAAACCAAATAGAAATCTGTGCTTCTCCTGGAGAGGAAGAGGCTGTACCTGCAGCTTGGTAGGGTTGAAGCTGTCACTGGTTGTAAAGCCTTGCAAAGAGGGGAGAAGTACTGAGAAACCTACTGGAGTATGCTTGGATTTGCAGTTGCAGCCTTTCCAGGAGTGGATGCAGAAGGCATCTACTGGGGGAGTGGAGGATTTGGGGTGGTGGTTTATGGCCAGGTGGCTGCAGAGGTGCAGCAGAAGACCTCAAAGGCAACCCTGCTGTTCAGAGTTGCCAGTTCCTGATACCTCAATGTGTCTGTGCTTCTATATCCACGTCCACATCTGATAAGAAACAGAATCCTAACAAACATCAAGTAGCAAAAAGGGACACAACTTCTTTTCCTAGAGTGAAGCATTTTTCTGTAGGCCCCAGACATCCCCTGTTCCCCCTCCAGCTGGATACCTCACACCTTCCCAACCTCCCAAGTCTCCTCCTCAGACTTCATTTTCCTAGAGAAAGGTCAGGCATTGGAATGGGCTGCCCAGGCAAGTGGTGGATTCTCCATCCCCGGAGGTTTTTAAGATGAGACTGGATGTGGCACTTAGTGCCATGGTCTAGTAACCACGGTGGTGTTGGATCAAGGGTTGGACTTGATGATCTCAGAGGTCCCTTCCAACTCAGCTGATTCTATGATTCTATACTGTGGCCCCATGTCTTCTTTCCATGCCTGCACAACAGCATTTCAGTCACCTGGAGAGCAGGTCAGTATTTCATGCTTCCTTGTGGCAGGTGCAGCCCAAAAGCAGCATCCCAAGGGCACAGAGAGTGGAGGTGGTTTCCTTTCCCATCCCCATCCTGGGGAGCAGAACAGCTGTAGCTTGCAGCCATCACCCTCAGCAGCGCTTGGCTCTGTCTGGATGGGACACACTGTGAAGCAGGGTAGTGTCATCTCTGTGCTGGGCCTGAGTGGGTGGAGGTGCTTCCTGGCTTCCAGTGAGTCACAAGCTGTTGCCTAGATCTTCAGCAACAAAAGGGGACATCAGAGCGTGGCACAGCAGGTTCCTGTGCCTCGCCTCCAGCCTGAAAACAGGCCCTGTTTGGCTCCCCTTCTCTTTCAAATCAGTGCTCTGTGGACATTGCAATTGGTTTAATTGCAGGGCAGCTAACGAGCACTCTCCAGGATTAGAGATGGAATGGGTTTAACTCATAATCATAGCTTAGGGCATCCAAAAGTCTCAGTGGACTTTGCAAAGTTGATCACTGTCCAGATGCAGAAGATGTTTGATGGGAAAACATGACATGCCATCCTGAAGCAGAAATATTATCCAGCTGAGTTCTCTGAGCTGAGACAAAAAAACCAAAGCCTGATGCTTCAAAGGATGGTTAGAAGTCATAACTGTATGGGCCTGATCCAGATCTGGCCTGGAGGCTTTTGACCCCCTGTCCTGAAAAGGCAGCAAGCATGCTCAGCATGTAATGCTCATGAGTTTCCACTGTGGGAAAGGAGGCTTCATCTGCTGTGGTTTGTTCATGTGTTCTACAGTTTTTGTATTTCTTGTAATAATTTCTACCGAATGGCTGTGGCTGTTCACATTAGAATTGGTCTCTGTCTCCCAGTTTTCAAAGCCAGAATGCAAAACTCTGCTACCCAGGAGAGCACTGCGGTTGCGCTCAGAGCAGAACAGTGATGCGTCAAAGCTTCCAGAGGCAGAGAGATACAACCCCTGTGGTACCAGGGGGAAATGCAATTTCCTTTGGGTCCCACCAAGAGCTTGGAACCCATCTGGATCTAACCACTCCCCCTGCTGTCTTTGAAGTTCTCCCTTCTGCCCAAAGTGATCTGTATGTTTCTGAATCTCTTGGCAAGGGCAGTTATCACTGCTATTCTGTTGGTGTTCAGCATCATATTAGTAGGCTCTCAGGTACTCCTACAGTACAAATAATAAATAATAATGAGCTGCAAGGAAGCCCTCTGAGTCTCAAGCTCAGGCTGGACTCTTATGGCTTCTACACAAGGTGTCCACTCTGTAGACCTTTCTGTGCTGCTGTTGCTAGCAGTGCAGCAATGCTGCTGGAGAGTGGCCTGGGAAGGGGGTCCCCGCAGCCTGGGGAGAGGCTGTGCAGCTGTCGACAGACATGAGAAATGCACACTTGTGTGCTGCATCTCTGGGTTGGTGGCCTTTTAATGACTGAATCGGATTGCACTCAGGTAATTTTTAGGAAACTTTACAATAAAATAGGAGAACATTGGCATGGTTCAGC